GGGGGGGCCAACCCCATGATGACACTTTTAGGTCACTTTTCTTTTGGGCTGGAATTTTGCTGCACACTAACACACCTTTCAAGGCGGGTAAATTCCCCGACCTAGAAAATGTACGAGAACTTTCACGGCGCGCATAACGGAGATAAAACACCTCAATTATTGGGAGCGCTTGAGGTTCCAAAAACCTGTTTTTCCCTGGAACGCTGGAGGGAGATATATGATTATATACACCGGGAAAAAATCCTAGAGGGACTAGTCCCCGAACTTGCACACACGAAAATCCCCTCACAAACGAAAGCAAAAGACTTGGCAGACGATGCAACATCCCCCCAATGAAAAGCAGGGTGTCACAGCACGTTAAGAGACCATACAATAAGTGTCAGGGGCCCGAGACTGTTAAAAACTGCCTCCCAGCACACATAAGGGGGATTACCAACAGACCCCTGGCAGTCTTCAAGCTGGCACTGGACAAGCACCTAAAGTCAGTTCCTGATCAGCCGGGCTGTGGCTCGTACTTGGTTTGCGTGCAGCCAGCGCAACAGCCGGTTGATCAGGCTCTGATCCACCAGGGGGCCTGTCCACAGCCCGGGGCCCGCGGGGCGTTGACCCCCGGAACTCTCTCCAGTAAACTCCGGGTATCCTCGGTACGAGAATCACGCGTTCACTGGGAGCAGGGCGATCTATTTCACATCCCGCATTCTCTTAACTCAATGTTATTATCAACTGATTACATTCCCAAATTCACAAGACATTTAACGTCTCATAATTATTATACACATTAGAGGTCACTCCATTAAGATCGAGGCCGATGACGGGGATTAACACACGGTATTTCCCCTGGACACACCATGGCCGTGCACCAGTCACACCCTTTCCAACCATTATTCACTAATTTTACCACCTTTTTACGGTGGTCCCGTAAATCACGTTCCCTCACTCTTCACCGGGAACAGTTACGACACTTCCTATTATGAAATGAGGCCTATATTAATCCTTAGCCGCCGTGAATGCCAATTTCCGGGTTCCATGTTTTCCCCCAGCCTCCTCACCACATTCAAAAAACTCCCCCCTTCCCCCAGGGCCCCGAGTCGACCTAAAACCCCCGCACATCCGCGCATGCGCCAAGGGGAATTCGTGTTCTATCCTATTGGGTCAAATACATTTTTGACTCATATCGACACATTAAACACCTATTAGGCGCTATAGCTTCGAAAATCAAAAATTTTCCACAATAATAATAATAATAATAATAATAAAAAATAATAATAATAATACAATTTTTTCTCTGAAAACGCGGGTCGACAACAAAAACAAGCCAGGATGATGACACCTATAAGGCCTCTGGATACGTAAATGTAAGTCTAGTCTAATATATGACAGTTTCCCATCTAGATAGGGGTTTCAAGAAAAAAAAGTCGCCAACATTCATTCAATCGCCGTCTTTACAGAAGTGTGCCGACATCACAATTAGATTACACTGACTAGCATTCCCACCCCTCCTTCAGAGTACAGGCACTACATGTACCTCCCACCTCCAGGACTCAAATCTGACAAACCGATTTCCTTGATTCGCTTCCTAAAGGCTACCCTACTCACACTCCAAGAGTACGGCCTTTAAAAAACCCCCTTTTTCCCCTCCATTCAATACTATCTAACACACACAAGCCTTCTGGATGCTCAGTTTCTAAAACTCAAAGCTTCTTTTCCCCTCTCCCTCCATCATTCTTAGGACGTTTCCCTCTCCCTTTAACTTTCCACCCAAGATTTTAAATCCTCTTCGTCAAATTTTCCCTCATCGTCCTCTCAAAAATGTCCAAACCACCTGAACAACTCCTGGTCAATCCTATGAATTATACCCTTGGTAACCCGACTTCCGGTCTTTAAATTTCTACACTCTGAATTCTCTGCGTGATATTTCCACCACAATTTGTTCTTAAACATGTCATTTCCACTGCCTCTAGCCTCCTCGTTTGCAGCATTCAAAACTCAATGTCTCACAACCATGCAAAATTGTTGCATTTACACTCGGGAAAATTAACTTTCCCCCTCTCCCATCAATCATACATAAATTCCTTCTACATATGCCTCAGCGCACCACTCGCCTGGTTTCCTTCTCCAGTCTGTGTTCAACTTGTCTTTCAAACACTAATTTGTTTGTAAGTCAGCTCCCAAATTTTTTAAACACCTTCTTTTCTCCCCCCTTTTTTTTCAATCTGATGTTCATTCTATCACTGCCTAGACTGTTATCCTGAAGCTATGAACATTAAGATAGAAAGAAGTAAGTTGGATATTTTGTTAAGCTACACATCGAGCACAGCTAACGTTTTCTGTAGCTACAAGTATAGGTCACTACGAGCACAGTTTTGGCTCCTGTAGTCACAAAAATAGGTCACCCCCTTTCTCCTTGTAAATTAGTTTGCTGATGATATAATGATTCACACCAACCGGATTCCCCAAACCCACCCAAAACATTCTTAACATGACTAGCCTCGTGTCAGACCTGGGGTTGATAATCTCTACTGATAAAACAAAGATACTCAATAGGCTCCTCCTCGACAAGAGGCACAGTTCTCAGATCCAATTGCATGATGGGTCTCTTCTAGAATATGTAAGCAGATACAGGTATCTAGGCTTTGAGGTTCCACTACTTGGACCTGTTGTAACAAGACTTTGTCGCCAATACAAAGAACGACTAAGAGTTGTGGCAGGGCTTCACCCCAGGTAGGTGCTAATGTTAAAATTGTGAAAATGATGTATCTTCCCTTATATTAGATCATTGGTTGATTATGCTGCGCCACTACTTGCTCTTGTTCTGACTGGAAGCTTGGAGGGAGGGAAAAAACTGCAGAACGAAGCAATGAGGATCATCCTAGGATGCCCTCGTACTCCCAAAAATTTTAAATATCCCAAAAGAACTTGATATTCCAAGCATCAAGATCGTGTTACTGAAAGAAATATCCTAATTGGGGTTAATAGGCTCAGCAAGCCATTCAAACCCCTGCACAGAAGCCCCCCCAAACTTTCCTCAGCACTGGTGAACACTCCTCCAGATGGATCGAAAAGACTGGAACCGACCTCCGCATGAATCAGATACATGATCTATGTCAAGTAAGGCAACAGCGGCACTTCTCCGCTCCATGGAATATTACCCCATTCCACAAATACCATTCCCCCCAATTTCCCCCCAAACTACTTCTTAAATCACAACCAAAACTTCGCCTTGAAGCCAAACATGAGGCCTTAAGCTGTATTGATAACTTTGTCCCCACAGCACACACTCTAGCAAATTAATTTACGTTGATGGGTTTTGTTCACCAATCCACTGGGGCAAAACTGGTAGTGCTGCTGTTGTCGTACAGAGTGATGGCTCTCTTAAAGAAATTTTAGCACGCATCAATAATTGGGCCTCTACCCTTCCCGACAAACTGTTTGCCATACTCCTGCAACTGAAATGCATCATGTATCAAAGATTGACAGTTTAATTGTAACTGATTCTCTGTCATCCATAAATGCTCTCAACTCATTAAGCATAAATTGTGGCAGCTTGTGTCAGAAAGCCAGACACAGGTATGGGAGGATTGTGGGCAGTGGAGTCAGAGTGCACATGCTGTGGGGTTCCATCTCACATTGGTCTTCAGATCATATAGAACTGATAAATTGGCTAAGCTGTATGCTTTCAAAGAGGGAGTAGATTACAATCTTGGCTTTTCAGGTAGTAGTTTGAGAACAATAATACAAAAGAACTTCAGCTGAATTTTATGGACTTAAGACTTAGGGAGATTGACACCAGTGAGTCCATCATCATCATTCTATCATGCAGGAGACCACATGTCTATGGGGCAATCCAACAAAAAAGCAACTCTTGGATGTCCCTACCGCCCGGGTCCGGCTGGGGTTTCAAGTATCTTTGGCAGGTAAATCACCACCACCAATGTAGACCAAACGAAATGTAACTTTGCCAGATGGATTATTGTCACACCCTCGTCATTATGTACTGAGTGCGATAAAATTAAAGAATTAGAAACAACTCACTCAGAAGTGTTCAAGAAATGGCTAAGTATTTTATCCACAGTGTATAAATTTCAGACCATTCTGGAGAAATACCCTGACTTTGCTAGCGTAAATAAAGCATTACCACATATGTGCAAGTGTGTGTGTGTGTGTGTGTGTGTGTGTGTGTGTGTGTGTGTGTGTGTGTGTGTGTGTGTGTGTGTGTTGTGGTGTGTGTTTGTGTGTATTGTGGTAGTTGTGATGTGTGTGTGTGTGTGTGGTGTGTGTGTGTGTGTGTGTGTGTGTGTTGTGTGTGTGTGTGTGTGTGTGTGAGTATGAGTGTGTGTGTGTATGAGTGTGTGTGTGTGTATTTAAATGTGTGTTGTGTGTGTATGAGTGTGTGTGCGTGTGTGTGTATGAGTTTGTGTGTTTTTGTTTTGTGTGGTGTGTGTGTGTGTGTGGTGTGTGTGTGTGTTTATGTGTGTGTGTGTATGAATTTGTATGTGTGTGTGTGTGGGGTGTGTGTGTGTGTGAGAAAACTCAGCAATCAACATTTGCACCAATAACCACTACAGTTGTTGACCGGGTGGAAGTGTGAATTGCTCATTATTTTAAAATTTGTTCATGATTGCAGCCATGTAAAAAAAAAGAAGTAAACCATTCTTACAGTATTCATTACCTTTGTAACTTGTGAGTTCATTTCCTTTTGTAACCTGTTAGTTTTATTACCTGTACCTAGTTCACCATCAAAACTTGGAGCCCGGTCCCTGGACCCATTGTGTACCTCTGTAATCGTAAATACCTTTGTAACTTGTAATGATTGTGACTAGACCTACCTGGATTCATTACCTTTGTAAATTGTGAGTTCATTACCTTTGTAAATGTGAATTCATACCTCTGTAACTTGCTCACTATCAAAACTTTGAGGCCCAGTCCCTGGACCCATTATGCACCTCGTAATCTTTGACTACCGCCCACAGATGGGTATGGGGTGCATAAAAACATATTAAACTTAACACCTTCTCCTGTAGCTGCAAACAGATAATCACACTTTCTCTTCTACAGGCAATGACCCAGCAGCGAACTCGCGACCATGTCACGGGGAAGGTCGTCGTCTCCTCCGTCATGCCTGTGTGAAGACGTCATGGCAGCATCTTCAATATGTCGTCGCCTGCAACAGATCACGACCACGACCCCCCAAACTACGACACTGCCCTCCGCAAGCTGACGTCCACCGGAGTAAAAAGCTGTCGTCCGGACATCATGCTGACAGACAGTTTCCTGGCCAGCTGTCGCCAACTGTCAAGCTGACAGACAGTTTCCTGGCCAGTTGTCATCCAACTATCACGCTGACAGACAGTTTTTCCCGGCCAGTTGCCGTCCAGCTATCATGCTGACAGACAGTTTTCCTGGCCCAGTTGCCATCCAACCATCACGCTGACAGACAGCCGCTGGCTGGCGTTGAAGAGAAACGCATTACAAAAAAAGATTTCGCTGGGAAACGTTTTGCTCTATCGGATCTTTATCAGCTCCAGAACATCAGAGAGCGAAATGCCGCCCCGCAACGTGTGTCCACTTCAACGTTCTCGTCAGTACTAAAACGGAACGCAACCTTCTCCTTCTGACTTCTTTGGCCCTCTTAAAACGTTGCATTTCCTACCCTACGGATACTAGCCAACGTCTCTGTGTACACTATTTTAAGGTAGATATGCGCAAATCAATCAAAGGTTCATTCTTTTCAGAAATCATAAAAAATAAATGCAAAAAAATGACTAAGAAGAGAATGTCAAGGTGATAATTAGTTAGTTAAAGATTAGCCGTATTTCTCCCGGCCCGGGCCTTTTCCAAGTGGTGGCCCGGCCTTGGCTCCCTCTTTAGGGAGTGTCTGAACCTAAGTCTCCCATGGGAGGAGGCACAAGTACCTCCTCATCTTTGGGACCAACTGTCCCCAGGCCTAGCCACAAGCTAGGCCTCTCTGGTCCTGCCATCCCCGCCCCAAGGGGGCAAATGGGAATGACAGTCTTATGAGCTAAAGGCTCGGGCTCAGGCACCTACCCTACCCAAGAAAGGTTAGGCATGGTGTCGATGAAGGTGATAAGCCTAATTCAAGAAACGATGTTCAAAAAAAAAAAAAAATCCTCGTATATCTGTTGCTTTTGTTAATATGTATAGATGAATTTGTATAGTGTATAAATTATACATTATGCAAACTTATGTTTAAACTCATGATACTATTGTAGTAATATATATATAATATATATTATATATATATTATATAATATATATATATATATATATAATATATATATTATATAATATATATATATATATATACATACATATACACCAAGATTGTAAGTATATATACTAGTGTATTAAGAGCGAGGGGGCTATGTATACTCTGTGAATATATACACTGAGGGTGTTTATCAGCGTATAATATACATACTAAGATGTGTGCATCTCAGTAAATGTACAAATAGAGTCGTGTATATAGGGCATATACACCGTATGGTATGTATTTTTAAGTATATGTTCACTAAGATATATATCTCAGTGCATACACACCAAGATATACATGTCTCACTGTGTATATACAGTGAAAGGTGTACATCTCAGATTACATATATACACCGAGAGTTGTATAGCTCTCAGTGTATAGTCACCAAAAGTAGTATGTCTCAGTGTATATACCTTCAAATTTAACTTTAATCCCGATCTTAGGGATTAAAGAATCCTTCATATTAATATCTAAGTGGATTTTATGCCTTAAGAGTTGAACATGATTAATGGGTTCTTTAGTCTATCAACAACACGAAGGTCACTAAGTTTGATTAATGGGATTTAAAACCCTATTAACTAATACACGAAGTTCAATAAGTTGGTTAATGGAGCTTAAAGCCTATCTCTACAAGAGTTAATAAGGCTGCATGTCACTTGTTAATCACCACTCAAGAATACTTCTGATACTTAAAAAATATTGATTAAAATTAACTCAGTTTTTACACACTGAGAGGCACACACCTCACAGTGTACACACACTGAGAGACATACCCCTCACAGTGTATATACACTGAGAGACATACCCCTCACAGTGTATATACACTGAGAGACATACCCCTCACAGTGTATATACACTGAGACATACCCCTCACAGTGTATATACACTGAGAGACACCCCTCACAGTGTATATACACTGAGACATACACCTCACAGTGTATACACATTGAGAGACATACACCTCACAGTGTATATACACTGAGATACACACCTCTCATTATATATTTTCTTATAGAAATTGATTTTTATATAGTAATGGAAATATTAATTGCATACAACCCTGTTTAATTTTGATAACTGATCCATATCTGTAACACTGTTGTGGATTAATCACCTTGTTGGATCTATATATAGATGACTCGTGTTTTCTTGTGCCATTTTATTTCATGTGTCTTCCAAAATATAGCATCATTCAGAGTATTGTAGTTTTTTTTTTAATATAGCCTCTGTTAGGTGACTATCGCATCTATATTATGGTAATTACCTGACGTCTATATCATGGTAATTAATTGACGTCCTATATCATGGTAATTAACTGACGTCAGTACAGATGATAATTAATTGAAGACAATATTATGATAATCACGTATATTTAAAGTTTATATAGGTCTATCTGCTTTAAAATATAAAGACAATCATTAAGTTGTAAATGGTAAATCATTTACCATTTTCAATCAGCGGTAAAAAGAAATAATATATAAAATAAAAGAAAAATATCTAAGAAAAACAGCTAAGAGTATAAAATTTCATTTGTAAAGCTACATTTCCTATCTAAAAATAGCTTCCAGGGTATGATAATAATTAGGTTAAGTTAGGTTAGGTTAGATAATGTGTGTCAGGAAACAGGATAAGTGTTTCCTGACGCTGGTCTTAGCAATATGATGGCCCCACAGCTGGAGCTTTTTTGGTCATCTGACCGAGGCCTTCTGCTGACTTGCCTATCCACCCCTTCACTTGATAGAGTATAATTTTAGGTTATGGCAAGCATTAATATGGATTTGTGAAGAAATTTTTTGTATAGGGTTAGGATAATTTTGGAAATGATGAGGTAATTTGAAGATGGCTAGGATAATTTTGTAGATGGCTAGGATAATTTTGTAGATGGCTAGGATAATTTTGAAGATTGCTAGGATAATTTTGAAGATGGTTAGGATAATTTTGAAGAGGCTGTGACAGTTTTGAAGATGGCTAGGATAATTTTGAAGATGGTTAGGATAATTTTGGAAATGGTGAGGGGAATTTCAGATGGTTTTTAGTGTAATTCTGAAGATGGCTAGGCTAATTTTGAAGATGCCTAGGATAATTCTGAAGATTCTAGGCTAATTCTGAAGATGGCTAGATAATTTTGAAGATGGTTTAGTTACCCTTGGAGATGGCAAGGATAATTGTTGTTCTAATAATGTGGGAGAATGAAAGGAAGGATTAAAATGATTGGTTGACGGGAAGAGTAAACAACGAGGGATTTAGGGAGGGGGGGAGGTGGAATAATCCCTCCCCACTTCCCTACCCTCTGCCAGTAGACACTCTTATCTCGCACTGCTCCGTTGAGACGTGAGAGAAGACACACAGTGACAAGGCGAGACATCTACCTTCATCAGTCTCTCACTCTCACTCAGGTAGGTCAAGCCTCATTCCTCCTGACATGTTGTATACACATTATGTATACATTAATTGCATACACATTATACTGCATACGCATTTGTTGTATACACATTATGTTGCATACGCATTGTTGTATACACTTATATACACTTTTATGTATGTTTGTATCCCACACTTTGAAAAAAAATCCCCACATTTTATACATTTTAAACACATGTATATTGTATCCCATTTATTATGTATACATATGTCTTTTGGTAACCCCCCTTTTGATGCATACTATTGTTGTTTTCCCCTTTATTTTACCATGTTCTTTTAAAATTAAGTTGCGGGATAACATTTTTTTAAACCCCCCGTTGGAAAAACCAGAGTTAAAGGGGGCCAAAGGGGGCCCTTTGGTTAAAAACCCCAGGGGTTGAAAATCCAGGGGGGCAAATCCCATAAAGCTTTTAATCCTGGAAAGTTTTTAAAACCCAGGAGGCTTACTAACCCTTTGAGGGGTTAAAAACATACGGGAAAAAAATTTCCAGGAACCCCAAATTTGGGGTTTAAAATTCCTTTTGCGGTTCTTGGGGTCTCCCCCTTTGAATTCAACACCCTCCCCCGCTAAGGGAACCGCTACCGCGTCAGTTTTTCTGGTCCCGCGACCGGGGTCTTCCTGACTTGGAAAGAGTTTTGGGGCCTTAGACCGAAGTCTTCCCCCTTAAAAGGTGTAAAAAGGGAAAACAACACGGGCTCCTTCCATTTGGGGAAGTCTTGGGCCTATTTTAAGATTTTCCCCCGTTGTCTCTGCCTGTTCTATAAGTTTTTTCCCCAAAAGTCTAGAGCTTTTTTCCGTTCCCCTCCCTGTCTGCTCGTCAGTTTTTTGTCAAATTTTTTCCCGTTCTCTCTGCCCATCTCTTTTAATTTATCAACTTTCCCGGGTTTCTCTTTTCTGCCTAGTTTTTGGGTTTGTTGGGTTTGGGTTGGGTTAGGATTGGGTTGGTTAGGGTTTGGTTAGTTGGGTTTTGGGTTGGGTTCCCCCCGGGAAACAGGACAGGTGTTTCCTGAAGCGGCCCCCCTCCGCTCTCCCCAAAAAACCTCTTTTAAAAAATCCCTTTTTCCCTTTGAAAACCTTTGTTGGAGGGTTTTGGGGCAGTATAAAAGGGGCGATGAGGGTTTTTTAAAAATCCCGGGTGGTTAAAAACCCCCCCAACCTTCGGGGGGGGTATTAGTGATAAAAAAAACCAGGGAAAACCCCTCCACTGAGCTTTTGGTCATCTGACCGGGGCCCTTTTCCCGCGGGCTTCCCGGTCCCCCCTTTTTTAAAAAAAAAGGGTTATGATATAGTCTTTCAGTTATCTATCTGGTGGTACATTTTCAAATGCCTTCTTACCGGCCGGGAAACGCAGTCCACCCACCGCTCCCGGCATTTTCTTTGGGAGTCATTAACTCCTCGGGTTCGTGAGGTAGGGGTTTAATCCTTCTAAATCCCCTTGGTTTAGGTTTATGATGTTCCTCTCCCAAGGGGGGAGGTGCCTTTATGCTTGGGCAGGGGCTCTTGATTTCCCAAGGAAATTTGTGTTTCGTATTTATTTTACCCAGGTTTTTTTAACACCACCCAAAAATTTAAAAGGCTAGGAGTTTTCCTACCTTTGTTTATTTAAAAGGCTAGGAGTTATCCTATCTCAGCTCGTTTAAAGGCCCAAAGGGTGTT